AGATGTATTCTCCACAAACGCACCTTCCAGGTTTCTTTCTAATACAAGGAATACACCTTTGATTGATTTTTGTTCGCACCAACTACACTATAAGGGTTCTCCTGTTTTTCTCCTCTTCTTTTCTCATGTGACCACTCTTGGAAAGATACTCCGTCTCCACAAGGAGCACCACATTTTGTATATAGACTAACACTAACCCAGCCCTTGACTGTAACCAGTAAGGAGGCTGCCTAACACTAAGCCATTATCCATTCCGGAGAGTGCCTAAAACTAGCCCAGCCTCTGACTTTATCCATTCCGGAGAGTGCCTAAAACTTACCTGCCTCCTGACTGTATCAATTCCGGACAGTGCCTAAAACTAACCCAGCCTCTGACTGTATCCATTAAGGACAGTGCCTAAAACTAGCCCAGCCTCCGACTGTATCCATTCCGGACAGTGCCTAAAACTAACCCAGCCTCTGACTGTATCAATTCCGGGGAGTGCCTAAAACTAACCCAGCCTCTGACTGTATCCATTAAGGACAGTGCCTAAAACTAGCCCAGCCTCCGACTGTATCCATTCAGGACAGTGCCTAAAACTAACCCAGCCTCTGACTGTATCAATTCCGGGTAGTGCCTAAAATTAACCCAGCCTCTGACTGTATCCATTCTGGAGAGTGCCTAAAACTAGCCCAGCCTCTGACTGTATCCATTAAGGAGAGTGCCTAAAACTAGCCCAGCCTCTGACTGTATCCATTCCGGACAGTGCCTAAAACTAACCCAGCCTCTGACTGTATCCATTCCGGACAGTGCCTAAAACTAACCCAGCATCTGACTGTATCCATTCCGGAGAGTGCCTAAAACAAACCCAGCCTCTGACTGTATCCATTCCGGAGACTGCCTAAAACTAACCCAGCCTCTGACTGTATCCATTCCGGAGAGTGCCTAAAACTAACCCAGCCTCTGACTGTATCCATTCCGGAGAGTGCCTAAAACAAACCCAGCCTCTGACTGTATCCATTCCGGAGACTGCCTAAAACTAACCCAGCCTCTGACTGTATCCATTCCGGAGAGTGCCTAAAACTAACCCAGCCTCTGACTGTATCCATTCAGGACAGTGCCTAAAACTAACCCAGCCTCTGACTGTATCCATTCCGGACAGTGCCTAAAACTAACCCAGCCTCTGACTGTATCCATTCCGGGGAGTGCCTAAAACTAACCCAGCCTCTGACTGTATCCATTCCGGAGAGTGCCTAAAACTAACCCAGCCTCTGACTGTATCCATTCCGGAGACTGCCTAAAACTAACCCAGCCTCTGACTGTATCCATTCCGGAGAGTGCCTAAAACTAACCCAGCCTCTGACTGTATCCATTCCGGAGAGTGCCTAAAACTAACCCAGCCTCTGACTGTATCCATTCCGGAGACTGCCTAAAACTAACCCAGCCTCTGACTGTATCCATTCCGGAGAGTGCCTAAAACTAACCCAGCCTCTGACTGTATCCATTCCGGAGAGTGCCTAAAACTAACCCAGCCTCTGACTGTATCCATTCCGGAGACTGCCTAAAACTAACCCAGCCTCTGACTGTATCCATTCCGGAGAGTGCCTAAAACTAACCCAGCCTCTGACTGTATCCATTCCGGAGAGTGCCTAAAACTAACCCAGCCTCTGACTGTATCCATTCCGGAGACTGCCTAAAACTAACCCAGCCTCTGACTGTATCCATTCCGGAGAGTGCCTAAAACTAACCCAGCCTCTGACTGTATCCATTCCGGAGACTGCCTAAAACTAACCCAGCCTCTGACTGTATCCATTCCGGAGAGTGCCTAAAACTAACCCAGCCTCTGACTGTATCCATTCAGGACAGTGCCTAAAACTAACCCAGCCTCTGACTGTATCCATTCCGGGGAGTGCCTAAAATTAACCCAGCCTCTGACTGTATCCATTCTGGAGAGTGCCTAAAACTAGCCCAGCCTCTGACTGTATCCATTCAGGAGAGTGCCTAAAACTAGCCCAGCCTCTGACTGTATCCATTAAGGAGAGTGCCTAAAACTAGCCCAGCCTCTGACTGTATCCATTCCGGAGAGTGCCTAAAACTAACCCAGCCTCTGACTGTATCCATTCCGGACAGTGCCTAAAACTAACCCAGCATCTGACTGTATCCATTCCGGAGAGTGCCTAAAACAAACCCAGCCTCT